AATAGTTTACAAAAGAAAATGTCGATATGGATGTGAATATCCATATATACAAAACAAGGCTAGAAGCAAAGGTTAAATGTTGACCTTGGTGAAACATTTCTCCTGTAGCCTTGCTTAAGTCCATTCGGGTTTTGTTGCAACAGTTGCATATCGTGATTATAGGTTAAGAGAAGTCTCTTGGAGCTGAAATCTTAGATTTGATGAAAAGTCAAAGTGTTTGATTTTATCAAATTTGAAAACGAATTGTGTGTTTACAAGAAGATAGTGGGAGCATTTTTCGTATTCCTAAAACGACATCCTTATGTTTCAATCGTTGGAATAATGGTTGTTAAAGGATTTATTCTCGAACGATATTGGAAAAGCAACTTGATCTATAGAGATAGATCTAGAGGGTTGCTTGACTCGTCCCAATCTATATAAAATGTTGAGAAGATTTTATATGGAGAAACTGGTTTACTCTTAAGCGGTATGTTGGAAAGGTTCCAAACGTGAAGAAACCGTTGATTCAATAGTAGAAACCTAATACATGGATACTTCAGAAGTAGCAAAGAGTTGCAATATGGATCATGATGTTCATAAAGGAACTTGGAGTAGTTCCTGATATTGTTGATCACATACCATAGTATTATGATAACAATAGAGCCATTGCGAAAGCAAAGGAACTAAGGTCTCATCAATGATCCAAACATGTATTAAGGCGGTATAATCTCATCAGAGAGATAATACATAGAAATGACGTAAAGAGAAAGCAAATTTCCACATTTAATAATATTGTAGATCCACTGACAAAGAGTTGTCGTAGTATAAACATGATCGTTATGTAGACTTATGATATTGGATACATAAGTGATTGGATCTAGTGCAAGTGGGAGTTTGTAAGTATTATGCCCTAGGTCCAATCAACTTTGGACATAAATACTTTTATATATAATTAATGCAATTAAATGGCAGATCTATTATTTAATTAATAGACAATTAAATAAATAATAGAGTCCGTAGATTCAAATATTTGTAATTTGTTAATCACAAGGAGTTGTGATTGTGAGATACAAATTACATCTGATTGAATCTTAAATCATCCGTGGTCGTAAGTAATAACGAGATACGGATATCGTTATTACGGATAGACCATCGCGTGTGGCATTTCTTACTTGTGAAATAAGTAGCTGATCTCACAAGCTAAAGTGTGGTGACACTTAAATGAACACGTGGATGTTTTGTTATAAAACAAAACATTGGAGACCCGTCGAGAGATTCCACATGGATAACTATCTGAGTGTCAGTGGTTAATCTCTAATGTTCGGTAGTGGAATTGGTCATTTGACTTGAGGTCGTCATGGTACCTTATATGAGGACAGTCATACTTTGGCGGTATTGGATATTGCTCTGCAAAGAGCCGCTAATACGACATCGTTCGGGTATGTCAAGAATCGTATAAAGGTTGTGATTGATCAATAAAGGATTCGTCACTCTTAGATAGTAGGAGATTATGATCTGCGTTTCATTCAATTAAGTCGATGATGAAATCTTTGGCCAAAGTGTACTCATAAGTCGAAAAGGAGTTTTCGACTTATATTGACTTAATAGTAGAGTGAAAGCTATGATCGAAATTCGGAATTGACACAATTCTATATCTCGTAATTGATCGGATCATATTGACGAAGGGATTATATTTTCACGGTAAAAGAACGAATTTGATTTTGTCATACCACGTGACATTTTCCGTCCCATGTATTGCCCTGACACATTGATAGATGTCAATCAAGGACGGCAAGTGTGAATTGACGATAAATTAAAAGGATGTTTTAATTTATCAATTTTGATTAGATCAAAATAATATTTCACGTCGTTAGGTATCGTGGTCGGGACCCTAATGGGTCGCACACAAAAGAGAATTGGAAGATTGCAAATTGCCAATTGGTTAATTTAACAATCGTTGGATAAATTAATTAATTGAATTTTTTATTTATATTCCCGAATTAATTAATTGGATTAATTAATTCACGGACCGGGTTTAATTAATTGGATTAATTAAAAGTTGGACCGGACCGGGCCAAGCCCGTTTGGGTTTGTATAAATACATGGCTAGGGTTTGAGGTCCATATGTGTGTTTTCATTATTCTTGCTGGCATAAGAGAGAACTCTGGTAGCTGTAATCTTGTTTTCTGTGTGGATTACCGTTGGAGGCTGGACAATTGGACAACTGTGGATGGCGAATCAGGATTGCTGGAACAAAAAGAATAGTAAAGAAGTTTGCAAATCTGGAAAAGGTACAATCTTTTCACAATTTCTATCTAAACACAAAGGCGATTCTTCGTGGGAATCGAAAATTATTTTAAATTCCGCTGTGCATGTATAAGTAGATTCCCATCAATTACAACCTTATTTTGTGAAGTGACTATCTTCCAGTGTACCCTATCGGGATACTTCTCTGAATATTCCTGCTCTTAATTGTGTCGATCAGATTCAATCAGGATGTAATTTAAGGAGCAATACATTTTGAGCAAATGAATTACAGATGAATAATAGAGCTAAGTATCAGCAAAGTAAACAAGCCATCCAAAAAAATCCAATTTTCAGTTATGTTAAGAATCAATAACAAAAGTGTGACTGAGAGAAAACAAAGAAAATATGTAGCGTGAAACTTCTTACCTCATCAACTTTAAAGTTCTGAAAGTTCCTGACCGTACGTGAGGCACTCAGCATGGTATGCAGCAGCCAAGTCTTTAATCAATGCCTTCCTTCTCATGATACCAATCACTTCAAAAGAAGCAAGGAAAAGTTCGAGTGCATAACAAGACATAGATCGTAGTTTCAATTAAGTCACATTTAATTCTCTTTACTGTGACACAAATACACTTCATCCCTTTGCGAATAATACTAATCACTTCAAGCAATATATTTTTCATTTCATGTGTTCAACAATATATAGCACGTAGTTTTAATTAAGACAGGTTTAATTCTCTTTGCACTACAAACACAAATATTCTTCATTCCATGCTAGTTGTTTGACCAAAGAACTCATTGTTCTGTTTCCATCCGTCAGAACAATTTTATACAAGCAACAATCTCCCGTTCTCCAAAAATGATATCTCAGTTCTCTAATATTCCAGTATTTTATGTTTCCAGACCACTTCTTATCGCAGTAGAATATCTCCAGACTATTCAACATCAAGCCCCAAACTGTCATAACAGATCAATTTGCTTCTTTAAGTGCAAGATTGGCAAAGCTTGAATTTTTTTTAAGGTGGTCAAACATAGGACCCACAACTTATAAGCACTTAAAAGCATTACCAAAAAAACACTAAAATATGACACTTGTTCATAAGTTTTCCATTGCTTTTCTTTCTACGTCAAGAAACATTTTTGAATCCTAAACTATATTTCCACCTAGTCTTTACTAAAAGTATATATTTTAAACATGAACCACAAGACACTTTTTACAACTTGCCAGCTTTCAAGTAGAATAAACCACCTCAGAGGATAAATTAGATATCATCTGTCGACCCTGCACAAAAACTAAAGAGGAAAATACGCAAGATAGGGTGACTGACCTGCACACTGATCCACTAACTTTCTGATACAAATGGAAAGAAGAAACTGAAGGTAGGATTGTGGGGCGAGCAATGGGGCCGAGGCAACTCTTTACAAAGTAGAATTAGCAACTTCTACATGAATTTTCAAGTGGATGAGATCAATNGCCAAGCAGAGAAAGAGAAAGAGAAGGAAAGAAAGATAATTTACTCCTGCTGGGATCAAAGGGAAATGCTGGATTTGCAGGAGCGGGAAGAGTTTCGATACATGACGAGAACACCAGAGCAGGAGGGTCAACACGTAATGAGGGCAACGGGGGTAGAGGCGAGGGAGGAAGAGTGAAAGGGCGTTTTATTTGAAGTTCACCCATTGAATATGTCAAGAATAAAAATCTCAGAATTTAAGAACCAAGAATATGTATTGCCTGCAACATGGGATAATTAAAGGGGACCCTATAGATTAAGGTTCAGCACTTTACAGTTCGTTTCACGTGAGTGGGGGACACCATAATTTTTATGTACACATAGCACGCTCCGTCCAGCAAACACTACACAAGCTTACATGTGGGTGGAGAACACCATTTTGTACAAATTTTTTTGTACAACAAGAATTTTCTTGTTGGAAGAGAAACCCTATAAATTTGGAAAAGGATAATTAATTTTTGAAACTACTTATTTTTTTTGACGGCTAGATCAACAATAGTTTATTGTGGAAATTACATCTTCCAAGAATTTTAAAATGCACAATTTAAACTTATTAAAATTTTGAAATTTTTTTTTTCCAAAACTCAGATAACAATTTAAACTTTTTAAAATTATATTAATAATATTTTAAAATTAAAATAATCAGTATACCAACTCTAACTTCATCCAAGCCTAATTATTTTCCTTTCCCTCTTCTCTCTACATCTCTCCCTTCTCTCTCTTCTTTGTTCACCCTTCTCTCTCTTCGAATGCCGACGACCCATTCAAAACTTTGATGATCGATGATGGAGGCGCTGATCCAACCGACGTTGCTGGCATCGAAGGCTGCTGAGAGTTTGTCGCAGTGTCACGACCTTGCTGCTTCAACATTGGTGACATCGACGTCGACTAGTGATGACGTGGGAAAGGGGTTTCAGGTTTTGGGTGTTATTTATTCCTCTTTCAATCAGCGTAGCCTTGATTTTGTGGTTGTTGGTGGTTTACTTGTTTTCAATTTGTAAATGGTTATTTTTAGTGGTGGTAGTGGTGAGGTAGTAGTGGTGTTGGTGGTTTTTTAGTGGTGGTGGTGAAGTTGTTGTTGGTGGGTTGCAAATAGTGACGATAGTGACACTGGTGGTGGTGGTGTTTGTGACGGGGGAGGTGGTGGTGCATTCTTATTGTTGTGGGTGCCTATTAAATAGTTAATATGTGATCAATAAATAATACACTACCTATAAATTAAATAATTTATAACCAACAAACAATGTGTAATCTTCAAATTTTTTAATTTGTGACCTAAAAAAATACTTTGTGACTAATTAATTTGATATTTTGTGACTTTAAAATAAGTTGTGATCGATAACTTGTGACCAATTTTTTAATTTATGATTGATGAATAAATTGTTACCTATAAAATTTTTGTTGTGAACGTGAAATAAGGTGATTTATACAATTTTTTATTTGTGATCAAATTATATATAATTTATTTAATTAATTATTTTATAAATAAAATTTAATTTTTAAAATTTTTAAAATTATTTTTTAATTTTGAAATGAATTATAGTTAACACCTTAGATATGAAATTTTCCCTAGTTTATTTGAAGGAAAATTCCCAAACTTTTTATAGTGTCTGGAATTGGCTCTGCAAGCTTTAAAATTGAGATTTTGATTACACAACCTAATTTAACCCACTTCCAAGTGTTGGGCCTGTGAGGCCCAAATTAATGAAGCCCATTTCTTTATTTTGCAAAAGTTATCCAGCCATCAGGAATTAAATTGTGCCCGTGGATAAATCGATAAATTGCTTTCAATTCTCATTACAAACTTACCTTGACCCAGTCCATAGCTAGTCAAGTGTCATGGCAAGCTTGAATACCATACTACCTATTGGTTTCTAGTCTAATCATAATGCTTAACTGTCATAGGACTTGTAAGATATTGATTTTGAAAATTGATTTTTTGACCGTAGAAAATAAAAGTGTCCTATTTGTGAGAGAAGAAGTCAAAAATTATGGCTTGAATAGTGAAATAACGATCAAAAAATTGATTTTTTTGGGTAAAAAATCAATACTAAACATGCACTTAATGAAGAAAGCGAATTTCCAATAAAAAAAGTAAAATATCCCAAAACAGTTTATGCAATAACAAATGCACCTTAAACTTGAGTCAAACAAAAGAAAAATGAAAATGAAAAGAGCACCTAAGAAACTAAAATTACAAATATAATCAAATTATATATTGATATTTGATTTGATGTACATAATTAACCAACTACAAAATAACTTCATGATTGCATCTAAAGAGTATTTCAGAATTCGTCTTCTCCTTTATTGAAAAGAAAGAAATATAAAGGTTGGGAATTTCTCTGTTATGATGACGTGATTGCATCCCAGTTCCTTTAGCTATGTTCTTGAAAAGCCAATGGTACGTGTGGTTCATCTCCTTGTTGCCATTGACTCCATCTTTACAGATCTAATATCTTCATCGTAATCACATGGGATAGAACTCAACTTCAAAACTCGTTTACAAAGAAACAGTGCCCAACTTGCTCATAATCTTACAAGATACACCCTTCAAGAACGGGATGAGAGTCTTTGAGTTCTTCCAATCAGATAATAACATTATATCTGTTTATCAAAAGATAGGAACCCAAAGAAATGAAGATAGGGAGAAGAAAACTACACAGCCTCTTGTTGACAAAATTCAACTTTTGATCAGATCCTTCTTCTGCAATAGTTTCGAGTTTTGGCGCATTCGAAGGCTTACGAGGAAATACGAGAGAGGATGGAGCAACCTCCTCAATCCAATAGTGCATGTAACCCATTTGCTTTCCCATGACTTGGAATCAATAAAATCCTTTGAAGGGAAAAACGGCAGTATTATGTCGTGCAGATGGTGGAGGAAGATGATGAGAAGGGAATGGGAATGATTACATTAACTGCAGTTTATATAATAAATTGGAGACGTAAAAGAATGGGAAAAACTTTGGATGAGGTTGATTTTGAAGAAATTAATAAAATGATTTAAGATTGTTTCTAGAGGAAGTTTAGTCAATAATCTGACAGAAGCGAGATTCATCGAAAGGCTTTTCCGTAGACTTTAATGAACAAATTTCAGGAGGCTTAATCTATGGTTCTAGAAGAGATTTGACCAAATAAAACTTATTTATTTTTAAGTTAAACTTACTTTTAGCCCCTGTTTGTTCCCCATTAAATTACATTTCATTACATTCTATTTTTCTCTCTCCTATTTTCAACCACACAATCTTCCATAAAATAATATTATACGTAAATCGAAAATTTTTCCTTCTTTCTCAACCGCTTATTTTTTCGACAAAACACTATTCCCCCCATTTTCATTACAAAAAATGAGGGCCAAACGGGGCTTACATATATATAGAAAATGAGGGTTGACTTTAACTTCCAATCCTAATCAAAACTTGCTTTTTAAGGTATCAATCCTATTATGTTTATATATTTAGTGCTTGTTTGTGTCCAATTATTTGTGTGTAATGTATTATGGAATAATTATTGATATTAAAATGTGTGGTTAAAAAAGAAAGAAAAGTTTTTTATTTATGTATAATATTATTTTAACCCTTATTTGATCCCCATTTTTTCAATAATGCATTTTTTCAAAACTCATTTTCAACCACATTCTTCTATAAAATAATTATTCACGAATTTCAAAAACTTTTTCTTACTTTTTAACCACACATTTTCCAAAAACCTACTATTCTATAATTCATTTTCTATAATGATTAATGTGAATGAAAATGAGTACTGTAAAAAAAAATATTGTAAAGTGTGGAAGAAATGAAGACAAACAAAGCCTTAGTTTCAATGACATCAATTGCTCGTTATTATTTAAGTTAAACGTGATCAAAACTTGCTTTGTTAAAACGTTTTGATCTAATTGGAGCCTTGGTTGATTGGATAATTAAATTGAAGGGATAATCGCAACAACAATCCAAAACCTTTTACTTTTTTAAAAACTTTATATCAATCTTCACTTTGTACTCACTACAGTTTCAAACCTTTCATTTTCCTACACCACAAGGATAAACGGATGAAATCGCTATTAGTTGACCTAGAGAATGAAAATTTGACAAAATTAAGAAGGGTAAAACGATAACTTTACATTTTAGGTGGGATGAGTTTTATTTTCTTTTATTTTGATTTTTCTAATTTACATATTTTAATTATTGAATGTGAAAAAAATGTAAAGTTACTATTTTACCCTTTTTAATTTGGTCAAATTTTCATTTTCTAGATCAGCTAACAGCCAAATGGATTCACCATTTGTTCTTGTGTGCTGCTACAATTATTCCTAAATTAAACTCATTAATTCACGTAAATTCGAAAGACTTGTTTTAAAATGTTGTTAAAACATTACTGAACTCTATGAAATGCTATCCATTCATAGCTCGTTAAAATTATGTGCTAACTTGAACGAAATTTTTAAATATTGTTGACAGCCGTAAATATCTTGACAAAATGCTCTCCATCCATCTCTTATTGGGGGAATCAAACGACAATTTGTTCAATATGTGAATTCCATATTAATATGGACAATTTTGTTTAAGTCAACGTAATGAATTCTTGCGAGTGATGAATGGGAGAGCATTTTGACAAAGTTCAATTATGTTTCAACAACATTTTGAAGTTTGATAAGATTTCCATGAAGCGACTCAAAGTTCAATTATTT